TTTAGATCTGGCTTCTGGATGTGGGTACCAGCCTGGGTACCGGCCTCATCTTCTGGCTCCCTGCTCAGACCTCAGAGCTGTCCCCAGAGGCCTTAGTGCATCACAGGCCAAGGGTTGCGGGGCCATGAATGCTGAGTCAGGAGGACACATCCCAGGAGGGCGACCAGCCAGCCATCCTGGTTTGCCAAGACTGAGGGTGTTCCTGGGATGTGAATCTTTAAGCGCTAAAATTGAGAAAGTCCAGGGCAAACCCCGACAGGTTGGTCACTGTCCGTCCTGGCCCCTCTCCTGTACTCACTCTGTTCCTGGCACATCTCCTCTGCCTCACTCATGAATATTGGCTTCCCTGAGGACAGGCAGGAGGGAGAAAGCCTGGCCCTTATCCCTCCCCCTCTGACCCTCCTGACTGCCAGTCTACCTTCTCTGTCCACATCCGCACTCGGTCCCGGAGGCAGGGGTGCTAGTGGGTCTCAGCCCGGACCTGGCCATCAGCTCTGGCACACACAGAGGCAAGTTCCCTGCTGCTGGGGCATCTGGTGGGATGTCCCCTTGGTGGGAACCAGTGTAGACAAGAAGAGGGAGTTTGAGGCTGGAACTCTATCTGGGTTCTTCATGCCGCCCACCACACCTTGACCCTGGGTGATGGGTCTTCCCCATCCCAGAGTCTAATTTTTTCCCTATATTTGAATGGCAAAGATGCCACATAGCAGGGCAGTTAGCAGTACAGACACTGGTGCCAGACAGCCTGGGTTCAAATCCTGCCTCTGCCACTTCCTGGACAAGTGAGGTAACCTCTCGGAGCCCCCAGACTTGCATCTAGAATGTAAGGATAAATGTGTGATTGAGTAGATGTGAAATCTAGATTAAGTTAGATGATGCCTCCAAAATAGTGGTTCTCACCACGGTGTGATGTTGGCTCTCTGGGGACATTGGCAATGTCCGGAGATATTTTTGGGTGGACAACCAAGAGGGCGGGGGCTACTGACATCCGGTGAGTAAAGGCCAGGGATGCGGCTAAACATCCTGTTCTAGCTCCTTCCAGTCCATGCTTTTTGCAGGAAGACTGCTCAGTGCCTACCGTCCTCTGTGCTGGGCTTCTCGAGCTGGGGGCTGTGCCTCCTTGGGAATACTGTCCCATCCGCTTCTGTCAAGTCCTCTGGGATCATTTGTACCAGTTTCTGGCTTCTGAGACCTGCCACTGAGACCTCTCTGTGCTCCAGTCCCCCAACCTGCCTCCATCTCTTTAATTGCTTATAAGATGGTAACCTGACCTACTTGGTCCTAAGGGTTCCTTGCCTTCTAGGTCCAGCAAGCTTTCACAGTCCTGATCTTTACTCTGTTTTGAGACTTCATTCCTTACCAATTAATTGGAGGACAGAAAGCCTGTGTAATCTCAGCTTTTGGACTTTATACCAGAACCTTCTCAAAAAGAACTCTCCGGAGAAAGAGTGAGCTGATGAATGTACCTTTGATCCTTACACCTTCTGTTGCCTCACGTAGAGACCATAATGCAAAGCTCAATTGAAGGAGGGAGTGGAGGGGTAGCTGGTGACACTCAGGTATTGGAGAGAGCTGTGTATACTGCGGACTATGAGAAAAAATGATCTTGGGGCGCCTGGGTGACTCAGTCGGTTAAGCGTCCGACTTCGGCTCGGATCATGATCTCACGGTCCGTGAGTTCGAGCCCCGTGTCGGGCTCTGTGCTGACAGCTCGGAGCCTGGAGCCTGCTTCGGATTCTGCATCTCCCTCTCTCTCTGCCCCTCTCCTGCTCATGCTCTGTCTCTCTTTCTCTCTCAAAAATAAAACATTAAAAAAATTTTTTTAAAAGTTTCTTCAGGTTGAGGGCTTAGTCCTATCAGACTGCCCCCCTGCCTGCTCCCCCACACCAGATGCCAATTGCAAAGCCCAGGCTGTTAGCTGTCCTTCTGACCAACCTGCTACAAATCAGAGGTTCCAGTGACCCCGTCCAACTCAGGATGCCAAATGCAAGACCAGGTGGCTGCTTGTACTTCTGACCAACTGACTGTAAATGAGAAGTTCCCACAACCCCCTCCTTGGGTTCCATTAATTGGCTAGTGCTGCTCACAGAGCTCAGAGAAACCATTTACTTACTAGGTTACTGGTTTCTTATATAAGGATATAATTCAGGAACAGCCAGATGGAAGAGACACAGAGGGCAAGGTGTGGGGAAGGCTCAGACCTTCCATGCCTTCTGCAGGGGACCACTCTCCCATCCCCATGTGCTCATCAACCCAGAGGCTCTCCCAGCCTGCCCTTTGGAGGCTTTGTACACAGAAATGATTAAATCACTGGCCACTGGTGGTTGAACTCAACCTCTAAACCCTCTCCCTCACCCTTTGAAAGTTCCAACCCCCTAATCACCTGGTTGGTGCTCTTCTGTAGCCCTCATCTGCCGCCATCATTAGGTGTGGTCCCAAACTCACCTCATTAGCACAACAAAAGACACCTTTATAGCTCCCTTCACTTGGGCAATTCCAAGGGTTTTAGGAGCTCTTTCCCAGAAACAAGAACAAAGATCAAATATATACATTTCTTATTACAAATCACAATATCCCAGCTTCAAAGAAGACCTTTCAGAGGAGGAGATGGTTGAACTGTTTTTAAAAGTCACCTTATAGAAGAAAAAAATAAATGAGCAGTGATATTTATTCTCCTTCTCAGACTTTCCTGAAAATTCCAGTGGAAGTAATGTGGTCTCATTGTAGAACACTTAGAAAATTCAGTAAAGAGAAAACACAAGGTTGAACTGAATCTTTTTTTTTTTTTTTTTT